ACGTGGCCTTGGGCAGACTGTGCCTCCCAGAGAGGAGAGTCTGGGTGGCCCGGCCGGGATGAGTAACATTCAGGACACACCTAGGAGCCGGCCCAGTGCTACGCCTGCACGGGCATTATCCTATTTAACCCTCACAACCCACCCCGCGGGGGGCCACACCTGGTCTCCCCATTTCTCAAATGTGGAACCGGAGGCAAAACGAGTTTAGAGACTTGCTCAAGGTTACACAGCCTGTAAGTAGTGGAGCCAGAATCCCAGTTCAGCGCAAAGCTGGACTTCCTCCTGCGGCAAAGGCGGGGGCTGGAGGCCCTGGGCTGGGCTGACCGACAGGGCCGTCTGAAGTCTAACATGCCAAGGGCAGTTTAGGAGAATGAGCCTTGGGCTCGCCGAGAATTTTATTGGGCACCTACTGCATGCATGGGGTGGCTGGAGGGAAGGAGGAGATAAGTAAGACACAGCCCCTGCCTCTGAGGTGAGGTCTAAATACAAAAGAGCAGGTAAGCTGGCCCTTGAAGGAGAGGAGAGTCAGGAAAAGATAACGGGGTGGGATACAGCATGGGTAAAGGCTTGGTGGTGAGGGCAGAAACAAAATCTGGGAGATGGTGAGAAGAGAGGCCTGGCAGTGGGAAATGAGGTTGGGTAAAACAGGATTTGGGAATATTTTAAATGCCAGGCTGAAGATCTGAGGCTATATCCTTAGGTAATGGGGAACCACTAGAGGTGGTGGAAGCCATATTTCAGGCCAGGAGTCTTGCTCTGGAGAGTAAGATGCTGTAAAAGGGAAAAGGGAGGGACTGGAGACTGGGACTTTTCCAGATGGACCTGTTTTGCCATCTGGAAAATTGGACTTAAAGAATTGTTTAAAGCTGTGGTCCCCAAACCCCAGCTGTGGCCCAGTACCAGTCCATGGCCTGTTAAGAACCGGGCGGCACATCGTCCTGGGCTCTGCCTAACCCTCACCCCAGCCACCCCCTGACTGTGGAAAAATTATCTTCCATTAAACTGGCCCCCCCATGCCAAAAATGTTGGGGACCACTGGTTTAAAGGACTGCAGAATAGAAAGCCACATCCTAGAATGTCAGAGCTGACAGAACCTTTAGAGTCACCACTGTCCAACCCCTTATCCTGCATAAGGGGAAACAGATCAGAGGAGAAGGAGGGGCTGGCCCTAGTTTGTACAGCAAGTGAGCAGATCTAGGGCCTCCATACCAGGTCTCCTGCCTCTCAGTCCTTCTTCTTCCTGCTGGGATGCTAAAATGACCACAGTTTCGGTGCCCACGAAACAGGATTTGAGTGTGGGCCTGAGAGGAGGCCCCCATCCCAGGCTTCACCATGCTTTGAGAGTCACCTTTGCTGATGGAATTCAGGTTAACAAACCAGGCTGATCTTTCCCCTAGTGAATATCGCCAAAGAGCATGCGCAGGCTGGATAGTAATTAATCACCCACCCACCATCTGTGAGGATGGGGTTCTGGTGAGAGGACAGAGGAGGGCCAGCACCGGATGGGGACACATCCTCAGCTCCTTCCAGCTCTTAGAGGGCTGAGAGCTCTTCCAGCTTTTCTGATTGTGTTGGACTGAGATTGATTTCAAAACAGTGAAAATTTAGGTAGAGCTGGAGCATTCTGAATAATTGAGTTTGTTTTTTTGTTTTGTTTTTTTTGTTTGTTTTTTGTTTGTTTGTTTGTTTTTTGAGACAGAGCATCACTCTGTTGCATGGGCTAGAGTGCCGTGGCGTCAGCCTAGCTCACAGCAACCTCAAACTCCTGGGCTCAAGCGATCCTCCTGCCTCAGCCTCCCGAGTAGCTGGGACTACAGGTGCGCACCACAACACCCGGCTGATTTTTTAATTTTTAGTAGAGATGGGGTCTTGCTCTTGCTTAGGCTGGGCTCAAACTCCTGAGCTCAAGCAATCCTCCTGCCTTGGCCTCCCAGAGTGTTAGGATTAACAGGCGTGAGCCACCTCGCCCAGCCTGAACAATTGAGTTTGACATGCATAAATGATGGTTCTCCCAGGAAGGTTTTCTTTGCTTCTCACCAAAATTCCCCACGTCCACTTCCTCACCTCCCACCCAGCCCTCAGCCCAGTGTGCTCTGGCTCTGTCCCTACTCCTCCACCATGGCCACCAGAGGCTTCCTTTTTGTCAAATCCAAGGATGCTTCATAGTCCTCACCTCTCGGGCCTGCTTGGCTGGACTGGACACTACTGCTCACCCCTCCTTGACCAGCTCTCCTGGCTTCCCCTCTGTTGCTCTGTCCACTCCTCTCCCATCTCCTGTGTGGCTTGTCTTCTAGCCTACCCTGAAATGCTGGGGTTCCTCAAGACTCTGTCCCAGGCCCTCTTCTTACTCTGCCCTATGCTGGGCAGCCCCACCCACGCCCACTCTCGAGGAACCATCTCCCATGTTCCCAGCACCAGGCAAAGTACTTGCAGAGATGCACATATTTTTTTCCTCAAGATGCCCGTGTAAGGTAGGAACAATTTCCATTCTCATTTTACAGATGAGGAAACTGGCTCAGAGATGTTCCAGGGTTTGAACAAAGTCACACAGCTGGTCATGGGCAGTGCCAGGATTCATGCTCAGGTCTGGCACAATCCCAAGCCTGACCGGCCCCACACTGCCCTGGGGTGTCAGCTGAGAAGGGCTCAAAGTGTGACTCCTCTGCAGGGGTCATTCAAATTGTAAAAATCATACACAAGCCTCCTACCCTATAGCCTGCACACCCTTACCAGCACTGATCTTTGCTCTCTGGGGGGCTGCAAACTCCCCAGACCCTGCTCCCAGGGCTCCTAAGTCTCAGCAGTAAACACACCCTTTGAACAACTCCAAAGAGAGCCCCTGACCAAGGTAAAGGAGGCCAACGGTTAATGTCAAACACCCTCGTGTTGCCCCAGGGCTCAGAGCAATCCCCAGGGGCCCAGTCTGTGTCTTCACCTGGTACAGAGTCTCACTCAGGGAACACGGCAAAAAGCCCCCTAGCTTCCTGAGGATGTGTGGTATAACGGGAGAAATAACATGGTTCTGGACTTAGGTTCGAATCCTGTTCTGCCAGTGTACCAGCTGAGTACCCTTGGGCAGTGACTAATGCAGTGGCTCACACCTGTAGTCCCAGATGCTTGGGAGGCTGAGGTGGGAGGATCCCTTGAGCCCAGGAGTTCAAGGCTGCAGTGAGCTATGATCATGCCACTGCATTCCAGCCTGGGTGACAGAGCAAGACCCTGTCTCACGAAGACAGAAAGACAAGGAAGGGAGGAGGGAGGGAAGGAGGAAGGAAGGAAGGAAGTCAAGTCCCATCCTGGACCTACTGAATCAGAATCTTCATTTAAAAAAAAAAACAGGACTGACCATGCCCGTGTCTTAGGTTCGTTGTGGGGGTCAGCAAGCGTGTGCGCTGTGCCTGCATGGTGCTGGCACCAGCCATCACGGCTGTAAAGCTGTAATAATTCCTCGCTGCAACCCACTCTGAGCTAGTGGTCACGACTCCTCCTCATGCGGGGCTGGATTTCCAAAGCACTGACAGAACCCTCCACCGGCCCAGTGAATAGGTGACCCAGAAAAGGCACGACCTGGTTTTTGGGTTTTTTTCTCAGATACTCCAGGACACTCTGAGCTGCCTGAGAAGTCTGGACACCAAGGGACATATTACAGAGAAAACCTGGTATTGTTCTAGAGAGATGGTGTTCACACTGTTGGCATGGTTACTGTCTTGAGCTGGAGGGGCTACCTGCCCACAAATTAGTGTCACACAGATAGGATTTTAATTTTTTTCCCCCAATGCAGGCTGCCTGCTGCCAAGATGACCTTACTGATCCCCAGCCAATGACAATAAACACCACCGACAATAGCATCAACAACAGCTCTTGTTTATTAATCACTCTCTGCCTGCCTTGAGGGTAAACAATTTAACCTCATATATCATCAAATCCTCTGCACTTGAAGCCAGGTACAGCGGCACACACCTGTGATTCCAGCTACCTGGGAGGCTGAGACGGGAGGATCCCTTGAGCCCAGGAGTTCGAGACCAGCCTGGGCAACATAGCGAGACTCCGTCTCAAAAAAAAATCGTCACTTGGAGGGAGGTCATTATCCCCGTTATACGGATGAGAAAACTGAGGCCCAGAAGGGTCAGATGCTTGCAGTCATCCAAAGCCTTCCCCACCCACACCCATTTTCTGTCATTTCCTTTGACCCCAGTGTTCTTTTGCTGATCCCAAATCCCGCCCCCTGTGTCTAAGATCAGAATGAGAACACAGATTTCAGGATCATCCAGAGCCTTCTGTTGCTCTTTCAGAGCCTGCCTTGGAAGCAGACCGGCACCCAAGGCAGCTTTTGGCATTAAGACGCGCAAAAATGTCCTGGTAGCTGCAGTCTGTGAGCGGGTTTTGTGAGCGGGTGGAGCTCAGAGCCCCATTCGGAGCACCCGCCCCCCTTGAGCTTGTTCAGAGGAGCTCAGCCCAGGGGAAGAAGGAAAGCTGTCACCTATGGGATTGCAGTGAAAATGAGGGTGAAAGAGGCTTCTGCAGATGGTCTGGGAGCTTGTGTTCCTGAGAGAGAATTTTCTAGATCCTTTGTCTCAAACCATCTGGATAATTGCCTCAAGCTTCTGCATGGCACCCACTGGGTGGGCCCAGGTGGGAGGGCTGAAGAATGCAGTTACTTTATCTCTAAGCCTTGGATTTCTTTCTTTTTTTCTTTTTTCTTTTTTTTTTTTTTGAGACTGAGTCTTGCTCTGTTACCCGGGCTAGAGTGCCGTGGCATCAGCCTAACAGCAACCTCAGGCTCCTGGGCTCCAGTGATCCTCCTGCTTCAGCCTCCCGAGTAGCTGGGACTACAGGTGCTCACCACCACACCCAGCTAATTTTTTCGATTTTTAGTAGAGACAGGGTCTCGCTCTTGCTCAGGCTGGTCCTGAACTCCTGAGCTCAAGCAATACTCCTGCCTCGGCCTCCCAGAGTGCTAGGATTACAGACCTGAGCCACCGCACCTGGCCTGAGCCTTGGATTTCTTACCCGTGAAATGGGAGGCTGCACTGGCGGATGGCAAAGTCCTTTTTTTTCCCGAGCTCTGAAAGTCTAGAGTATTTCACCATTGGAAGATGAACAGGACAGGACAACCGAGAGGATAAAACAGGGATGCCTCAAAAGCCAAGTGTTTGGATCATGTCGAGTCACGGAGTGAAGAAGGTACCGAATCCCCCTACTCCATAGCAGACCGAGGGGCAGCAGTTTGCCAATACACTCCCTCTTGGTTAAGGCAAGGTCAGTATTATTGTTTCCATCTTACAGATGGGGAAACTGAGGCCCGGGGAGGTTAAGCGTCTTGCCCAACTGCAGCACAGAAAGCAGGGGGCAGGAACCAGGATCCAGAGCCGCTCCATCTCCACCGCTCTTTCCACAGCTGCCCCTGACCTGAGAGCCTGAGAACATTCTTTTAGTCGCTGAGCTGTGACTGGCAGTGGCACCAGCCATCACGGCTGTAAAGCTGTAATAAGCAGCTGTCATCAACTGCTGCTTCAACCATACCCTGGGAGTAAGGGAGAGAAAGGGTCGTTGAGTTTTCACCACAGCTCCCTGCCAGGAAACTCTGCTAAAAAACATCTTTTCCTCCCCAGTATGTTAGTAGGAGGCAAGCAGATTGTTATAGGCTTCTGTCTTCTGAGCCCAGACAAAACGGTGGCAGGCGGGCTCCGACTCAGGAAACAGAGGGATCTGGGAGGAACAAAGCCACACGAGAAGGCTGCTGGCTCTAGGAGGCTGACCTCTGCAGACACAGCGCTGAGCTGCCCCTGGGGTCGTAGGTGGAACCTCTCCCCCTTCAAACATCAAAGCTTCTCCATCTGGCCCTTCATAACCTGGCCCAGGCCCATCATCCCAAGGTCATCACCCACTCCCTGGACATTGTAGGCCCACCAAGTCCCTGATCCTATCCATGAGTTTCTAGAATGTCCTTTCTCATCCCTCCACCTCATTCCCTGCTTCTTCAATCCTTTAATACCCAGCTGAAATCTTACCTCCCCTAAAAAGGCTTCCCAATTTCTGCAACAAGAAGTACTCTTGCCTTCCACCTACTCCTACTGTGACTGGTACCCGCCATCTGCACAGAGCGACATCAGTGGGGTGGACGTCTACTGGCCAGCTACAGGGTGTCGAGCACTGTGTTATGTCATTTAATGTAACGTATAATCTCATTTGATCCTCATGGCAACTATTCTTTTTATACTCACTAAACAGATGAGGCAACGGAAGCTCAGAGAGCGTCCTCTCACCCGAGGTCATGCAGCTAGTAGAAGAGTTAGGATTTGAACCGGGTCTTTCTGACTATAAAGTTAATGCTCTTTGTCACTTATACCACCTGCTTCTTGCTTCCCAAGAAGTTGCCATTTCCCTTGCAGAATGTGAGCACCAGAGGATAGGGCCTGTGTTTCATTCGTTATCTGAGCCCCTGGGATGCCTGGCTGAGGGTCCTGAATCCAGGCACCACTCCACGAACGCTGAACGGAATGCGGTCACACCTTCTGCGTATTACAGAAATCCCACTGTGAAAGCCATCTTCGTGAGTGGCCAAGGTCTTCCTTTTCCTCCACCCCAGGAGGGGGAATACCTTAAATCAACTGACAGCTTACCGATTAAATGACAGCTGAGTGAAAGATAAGAAAAGGGAGGGAGCAGAGGGGAGGAAGGCAGGACTGACTGCAGGAGCCAGGAAGGAGCTGAACGGAGGAGGAGGGCACCCAGGTTGAATCTGGCCGGTTTGTGATTACTCAGAGCACAAGATTGGGAGTTACCAGACCTGGCCTCAGATCTCAGCTCTTCCACTGTAGCTGGGAGAACTGGGCAGGTTGCTGCACCTCTCCGAGCTTAAGTTTCCTCTTCCATAAAATGGGCATGTTGCTGTCCTTGCTAGACTCTCTGAGCTGTTGCCAGGAGGAGTAATGCTGTGCCTGAGGGAGGCAGTGGCTGCTGCCTACCTGGTACTTGTGACAATGTTGTCACCCCCTTTAAATGGGGACAGCTGGAGGATGAGCCTTCCTCATGAAGTCACTGGGCCCTGAAAGCTTGTGGCAACCGGGAACTCACAGAATCACAGACCCATAATGAAGATCTTGAAGACAATTCGCTTTGGTTTTCTTACTCCAAGAGGTGGCACAGCATGGTGGACTGATGGCCAACTGTGCCAGCAGACAAGCCTGGCTCCAAATCTTGGTCCCCACTTGCTAATTGTGTGGCCTTGTGCATGTCACTTTGCCCCCCTCAGGCTGACTCCTCATCTTTAATATGGAATTAAAAGTAGTTCCCTTCCCACAGTACTGTTGGGAGAATCAGAGACCCAGACAATGGCAGCTGGTTATTCGGCTGGTCCTAAGGGAAATGAGGCTCAGAGAGGGAAAGTAATTCACCCATGGTCACACAGCAGGTTAGCAGCAAAACCAAATCCATGTCCAGGCCTCTCAAAGCCCAGCCCTGGGCTTATCCTCAGAAAGCTGAGGCCTTACCTCAAAGGAAGCCAAGACTGACTTTGAAAATGAAGCCAAGGAACTCATGCTGGAATCACCAGTGGGATTCTATGTCTCACTGAGCTGAAACAACTGCTAGGGTTGCCTGTGGCTGGAGTATGGCAAAATGCCCAAGTCAGAGCCTAGGGTCCTATGTCCAACTTGGGATCCACCATGTAACCATGGGCATGTCTGGTCACCTCTCTGAACCTCAGTTTCTCTGCTTACCAAATGGGGGGAAGAATTCCTGACAGTGCAAAGGAATCATATAAAGGCAGAGAGACAGTTTCATAACAGCTACCCCTGAGTTCTCCCTGTGTATCTCACTGTGCACCCAGCCCTACGCTATTGCTAGCAATGGCTTCATTTTGTCTTCACGAGGTGGGGAGGGCTGGGGTGAGGGGGGGCCCTAACTTGCAGATAAATGGCTTGAACAGGTGGAACAAGGATCTGTGCTTCAAACCTATTCGCTCTGCCTGAAACACCCCTCCTCTTTCTCTACCTAACTTGGGCTCCTTCTTCAGGTTTCAGCATCACCCTGGCTTCCTTTGGAAGGATCCTTTGGCCTTAGGCTGGGGTAGGCACCTGCCCTCACCTGCAGTGCTGGGTTTCTCACTCTCCTCCAACAGACAGGGAGCTCCACGATGCAAAGACCTCGTCACGCTCACAGCTGTATCTCCAGAGCCTAGCACTGTGCTTGGTATACAACAGGTGCTCCATAAATACTTGCCAAATGACTGAATGCATCATGCCAGCATCAGGATGCCTCCGGAGCCTGAGCGAGCTGGCGAGATCAGAGGACGAGGAAAACTTCTGGACTCCTGCCACACCTTACATTTGCAGCATCTTCTCCGAGGCCTCACAGCCAGCCTCCTGGGATGCCATTTGAGCCGGCTTCATTCCAGTCACTGCTTCACCTTGGAAAGGCAGCCGCAGCCCTCACCGAGTGGCCCAGTAATTGACATCACAGCAGTGCTAGGAGCTGCCCTATTAATATTTAACGTGGCCATCACTGCGGCAAAGCCCCAGTCTCCAAGAGCTGGAGGGGCCATGCAGTCTCCATCGGGTCGTGGGGCAGGCACGGATGGGAAAGGGCTTCGTAAACCATAGGGCCCAGCAGATGAGCATTACGCTGACCCATTTTAGTCCCTGGCTTAACTCAGGAAGAGCTGGGCAGCACGTGCTTGCAGTGGGACAAGAAGACTGCTGACTGAGCCCAAGCGCTGAATACATGGGGGATTAGGGGTTCCCGGGGACATTTCCTGGAGACAGGGGAGGGCAGAGCACTGGCGCCGGCCAGATTTGGACTCCACTCCAGGCTGGCCCTGCCCAGCTGTGTGTCCGGGTAGGCAACTGGACTGCTGAGCCTCCGCTCCCTCATCTGTGAAATGGGGCTAAGACTTGCCTGTGGTGCTGCTGTGAGGATTGAATGAGACACGTGATGCAGAGGCCCTAGCTTGGCACATAACAGGATGTCCACAAATGCTGAGTCCCTTCTCCCAGACCAGGTCTGGGACCTGAAGCTGGAAACAGGCCTCGTGGGGGCCCTTCACGCATTCATTGGCCAGAGTGATGGCAGAAGGGAAGAAGGAGCAAGGGGGCACAGAAAGGGTGACCTTGGAGCCAAACATCTTGGGTTTGGACTTTCCACCATGGTGGCCCACGCAAGGAGAGATACCAGAGAGACCATGGGCAGAGAGCCCCAGGATGGCAGAAGCAGAAGGGCCCTCACGGACAATCTCTCTGACCATCTGACCCCTCTGTTTGGCAGATGAAGATACTGCGGGTCCAGGAGGGAGCAGACAGTGCCAGAGGCTCACACGGCAGAGCTGGGGTCTGATCTGGTCTGCAGCCCTCTGGGGCCTCATCACCTGGGGTTTATCCAAGGCCGCCTCCCGGGTAGGGCAGGCAGATGGGTTGGCAGACATGATGCGATGCCCCCATTCCTGGTGCGGACCTCCGCTTCTCTGGCCTGCAAAATGGGAGGAACCTCATCCCCTGCCCCTTCCTGGTCTCCCTCTAGTCTATTTTTCTGCAAATCCTGGGAGCTTCCTAAAATATAAATATGAACTTGTAGTCGCCCTGCTTGAAACCCTTCCATGACCCTACACTTAAAGTCACCAGGAGGCCCAGTTAAAACTGAATTGCAAGCTGGGTGCAGTGGTGTGCACCTGTAGACCCAGCTACACGGAAGGCTCACTTGAGCCCAGGAGCTCAAGGGCCGCCTGGACAACATAGCATAAAGTCAGCATAGAGTCAGCGTAAAACCCTGACTCAAAAAGACAAAAAAAGAAAAAGAAACCCTGAATTTCAGATAAACAATGAATAATGTTTTAATATAAGAATGTCCCACTAGCACTCTGGGAGGCGGAGGTGGGAGGATCGCTTAGGCTCAGGAGTTCGAGACCGGCCTGAGCAAGAGCAAGACTACAACTCTACTAAAAATAGAAAAAATTAGCCAGGTGTGGTGGTGTGCACCAGTAGTCCTAGCTCCTTGGGAGGCTGAGGCAGGAGGATCACTTGAGCCCAGGAGTTTGAGGTTGCTGTGATCTACAATGATGCCACGGCACTCTAGCCTGGGTGACAGAGCGAGACTCTGTCTTAAAAAAAAAAAACAAAAAAGAATGTCCCAGATATTGCATGAACATACTTATGCTTAAAAAATTAATTGTTGTTTAACTAAAATTCAAATTTAACAGGAGAACCTGTATTTTTATTTGTAAAATCTGGAAAAATTTCAGAATTTCCCTCAGGAAAAAGGATGAAGACTTTAGTTGGCCCATGAGGCCCATTTTGGCCGTGAACTCATCCCTTCTCTTCCTTCCACATGGACTCTCTGCTTCAGACACAACTCTTTGCCTTAACTTGAGAGTCCCAAGCCCGCCTTCCTCACTGACCTTTACAGATGTTGTTCCTCCCACTGGGACTCTCTTGGTATCCTCTGCTCCTCCTAGTGCCCCGCTGTGGTTGACCTCACTCATCCATCAGACCTCTGAAGCGTTGTCATTTCCTTTAGGAAGCCTTCCTGGCTTTCCAGGCCTGGCTGGTGCCTGCCCTGGGCCCCCACATTTCCTCTCTCTGCCTGTTCTGTTCCCGTGGCATAGCACAGGGGTTCAGAAAGCATTTGTTGCATTGAATTGCTAAATTCCACAGCCTCTTGTACCTCTCCTATCAACAGTTCCCCCTCCTTCAACCAAATCCTATGTGCCTGCCAGGGCCTTTTTGGAATTCCATGTCCTCCAGGCCTTCCCTGAGCCCTCAAATCCTTCCAGCTCTTCTCTTCTGAGATGCACCTGGAGTGTCTCAGTCACAGCTGGGGCAGTGAGCAATCTTTTCATCCCATAAGCTCAGCAAGATCAGCAACCCTGGGACTCTCCTCCTGCGACCTGCGGTGCTGAGCGCTGTGCCTTCCTGTCAGACAATACTCAACAGATGCTGGTGAGCTTTGGGGAAGCCAAACCAAGCTCCTGTGTTTGATTCTTCTCCCATCCAGTGGCCAATAACCAAAATCCTAACGCTGCCCTGAGGCAGACCCTCTCATATTCTATATGCCTATAAAGGAAGGGAAGCATCCTTAGTTCCCACTTTACGGGAGAGGAAACCAAGGAAGTGGAGGAACCCATTGTTCAAGGCTCAGGTCTCTGGACTCCATCCTACCTCAGGGCCTTTGCACCTGCTGTTCCTCTGCCTGGAACACTCTTCCCCAAACTCTTCACGTGGGTGATGTGGCAGGTTAAAGATGGTCACAAATACTTTGCTGTTCCCCTGCATTAAGAGGTGAGGTCTCTTTCCCCATCTCTCGAATCCAGGCTGGCATTGTGACTTGCTTTGACAACAGAATGTAGCAGAAGTGACCCTTTATGAGTTTGAGAGCCTAGGCCTCAAGAGACCTTGCAAGCTGCTGCCTTCACCCTCTTGGAACACTGCTCCTAGACCAACAGTACGGCAGCTGGTCTAGCCAACTGGAGGATGAGGGGCCACGTAACACGGAGCCAACGTGCCCCAGCCAACAGCTGGCACCTACCACCAGAGGTGTGAGTGAGGCCAACTTGGACCAGCTGTGCCTCTAGCTGAATGCAGCCGCACGTGTGACCAGGAGAAGTGGGCAGAGGATCCACCCAGACCAACCAAAGACTCATGAGAACTCATGAGAACTAATAAAATAGTTGCTGTAAGCCACTAAATTTGGAGGTTTGTTATATGGCCATGCACGACTGATACAACTGCCTCCTCCTCATTCAGGTGTCTGAGGTCACCTCCTCAGAGAGACCTTTCTTGACAATGCTGGCTAAAATAGCACCCCACCTCCACCCCCATCCTCCACCCCCACCCTCCCAGCCACTTTTTATCCCATTATCCTGTTTGATCCTGTCCAAGGCGTTTATCACTATCTGAAATCATGATTTATTCACTTGTGGACTTACTATCCATCTCCTGCTCTAGGCTGCAGGTTCCATGAGGGCAGGGGCCAGAATGGTGTTCCTGCCACCTCCCTAGCACCTGTGTGGTGTCTGGCACAGGGAAGAAGCTGCAAATTGTTGGTGGAGAGATCGTGAGCTTGCTGGTGTGGCACGTAGGGGAGCAGAGTGGCAGGTGTGAGCTCCCACCTGGGCACGTCTTCCAAAACCAGTGCCCTTGGGAGGGCAGGAGGGCTCGCAAGGTGGCTGGGCTCTGTTTCAGGGACAAGAGCTTCAGGGAGCCCAAGCTGAACAGGAAGGAAGAGAAACGGCCAACATGTTCATTTTCAGCAGGGGCTCAGGTTCAGACCCAGGAAGTCACCAGGGCTTCTCTCCTTCTGCCAGCTGCTGATTATCTGCAACTCAGCCACGCCCTCCTGCAAGATGAGCAAGCGGAGAAACTGGGCAATGGGAGACAATGTTGGGGACACTGAGTCGCTCTCCAGGGCCAATGATTTCCAAGTCCCTCAGAGTCCTCACAGTCTACTTTTTCCAGTACCAAGAAATTGATCCAGCCACAGCCTGAATGGAGCAAAAGAAACACATACCCAACAGCAAAAAGAATCAGCTCCAGGATGCAACTTCGAGCTATAGCACTCTGCATTCTGCGGGAGCAGAGAGAGCATCACCGTGGTGCCAGCCAAGCTGCTTTCAAGTCAGGCACGACGGTGTGACCTTGCGCATGCTGCTTCACCTTCCTGAACACCGATTTCTGCATCCCTAAACAGTGGACCATGAAGGCTGAACTCCTAAGGTTGTGGTGAGAATTCAGTGAAAACAGGATCTCAGCACAGCTTCAAGCACACAGAAACAGTAAAACTGATTGCAGTTAAGCTTATGAGCATTTCTTCACCTGTGGGCATATGGGGGCGAGGGGAGGCGGGGAGCAAGATTTGCAGTTAAACATGGACTCTTCCCAGGGACCAGGGCCACATTTAGGAGTTGCCTGGCGTTGCCTGGCAGGGACTAGGGTTATAGTGTGAAACCCTTGGTCCACATTGGAGTGTCTGATTCTAATTGGCTTCTCTAACAGATGGGAAAGCCCCTCAGAGCAGCCCTCCGACCCTCCTGGAGGCCCCTTGGTGTGACTAAGTCAATGGTTTGGAGGTAGAGCCCTGACAAGGATTCAGAGGGCCTGGATTAGGGGCCCAGCTCTGGCACTCATATGCTGTGTGACAGGGAACAAATTGCTTGCCTTCTCTGGGCTCTAGTGTCCTCATCTATAAAATGGGTCATTCACTTCTTACTTACCAAACTCATAGGGTTGTTGAAATGATGAGACAGTTTTCAAAAGTACTTTGAAAAGCATTTGTTGTTTGACGAATAAAAAGGGAATAGCTATGAAAACTGAAAAGACTCCTGGATTCTCTAGAAGAGACCGTCTAAAGGCTTTGAATCAGGCAATATAATATGAGTTCAAATCCTGGCTTGC